CCAGCCTTCAAGATGCACCCGCCCTCTGACATTCTCATCCTGTGTAGTCCGCTCCCACATTGTGTCAGGTGGGTCTGCAAGGCCAACAGACTCTGGTGGAAGGGGTGGGCTCTGATTTCTGAGGCTACGTTGTAGAAGACATCATGGTCTCTGCCCGGTGCTCTTTGGAACACATATGCCCCAGGGAAAGCCAGATGCCATGTTGTGAGAACACTCAGGCAGAAAGGGCCCTGAGCTGAGGAACTGAGGCCTCCAGTCAACAGACAGTGGGAAACTGACGCTGACTCCCAACAGCCAACTAAAAGAGTTTAGGGGTAGATCCCCTGCTTCCCCTCAGACCTTCTGATGACTGTTGATCTGGCCAAGGTCTGGACTGCAACCTTTATAGAGACCCTGAGCAAACTCCACCCGTTAAGCTGCTCCTGAATTCATGATGAACAGAACCTATGGCATCATAGATACAAAGTTTTGCAGTAACTTGTTATACAGCAATAAATAACACAAATGCCTTGCCACTCTTCTTCCATGGTTCTTCTAGAGTGATTATTTCATAATGCCTTATTTATCTGAGGGTCCCTCAGAGAGGGGACAGAATATGGTGTAAAGACCTTGGAATGGACTAGGAGGCTGGCCATGGTCTGGCCCTGCTGATATCTCTGGGCTTGATTTTCAAGGTAGATTCACCCCTCCTTCCAAAACACAAGAAAAGACTTTATCCCTCTGCCTAGGCTGCATGTATGCCCTCACTTCATCTGCTTGGTCTCTTTCAAATTTGTCATGCAGGAGCCCAGTGATGGTATCTTCCCTCCACCCTCAAATCATGGAGTATCTGAGCAACATTCAAAATTGGAGAAAAGGATCGTAGAGGTAACCTGGTTCTAACCTTTTTAGTTTTCTGATGAGAAAATTAAGATCTAGAGGAACTAAGGAATTTTCCTAAGGTTACAACTCAGCAACAGAGCTGGAACCAGAATGAAAATCTTTGCCGACCCCACCCATGACAGCATCCTTTTTACCAACCTACAAGTATGACTAACTGGTTATCTATCTAGGTGTTGATTCAACTTTGATTTTACACTTAAGTTCCTGTCTTTTTTGCTTGCTGATCCTTTATTTTCTTTCTACGACTGTCTAATATCAAGGGATTGGTGGCTATAGGGAGAAAAGCGGGGGGCTAGTGATGAGGAGATCGGCAGACATGTCTTTACTACAGTAAAGCTCTATGGCTATCTATTTATTTGGACTTTGTCAAACGTAAAACATCGAGACAATGTGTAGACTGTCTGTCTTACCAAAGGGGAATTCTGGCAGATCGATAAATCCCTGTTTGCCGCAGTCGGGAGTGTGGTAGGCCAAGGGCTGACTCATCAGGTAGGCTTTCAGTCCGGCAGCCTGCAGCCCTTCTTTCATGAGCTTCACTGTTTGCAAGCTAATTGTGGGGTCAAAATGGCAGTTCACACCAACGATGGAAGCTCCTGCAAGCGGGAAGAACATTTTAGCGTTAGGGGTTCACCAGAGTACTGGGAGGCTCAAGTCTCCTCTCTTAATTAAGGAGCTTTTATTTGGAACGGTGAGCTTGGCAGATAGCATTTGATCCTTGCTCCCTGCAAATCTATCTTACCTTTGGGCAAGAATGATTGCTAACTAGCAGCAAGTACTTTCTGTGGAAAGGGCTTTGAAGAGTCTGGTATAATTGACGTGTCATTTATGCACACTTGGCTCTCTGTCTTTCTTTTTTTTTTAATTATTAGTTTTTTTGAACTTCTATTTTTAGTAGTCAATTTTTCAATCTTTGACATTATATTGCAAACACAATAATTTTTTCAGCACTCCCAGCTGCTAGATTGCACCCGTGGTCACTGTACCACTCATTTGAGGAATAAATCAATGTTCCCTTTCATCAGGCCAATTTAGTAATATCACTGCTCCAGAGTCCAGGAGCAGCAGAACTGATGCTACGAGCTGTGGTACCCAGGGTTCAGTGGCAGATGCCTCAGTGGTGCTCACTGGGCTGGGTCTGCAGTTTGATCTTTATTCTTGTTCCAGTCAGGCCTCCCTCTTGGTCATGCCTCTGAATCCGCATTTGTAGGCTCACCCATGAGAGTCTGGCCAAGCCAGTGATCGCTGCTCTGTTCTTATCTTACTCTGCTTCTCAGCAGCATTAGATCTATTGGACCCCTCCCTCCTTCATCAACACTCTCCTTCTCTTGGTCTCTGAGAACTTCCTACGCAACCTGAGTGTTGCTCTTACCACCCTGGCTGCCTTTTGGGTGCCCACCCCTCCTCAAGGCTGAATCTGTCAACCCTGCAGTGTCCCAGGACTCCACTGAGCCATCTCCGCTCGTCACCTACACCTCCTTTTCAGGCCCAGGGCTTTCAGTACCATTTGCATCCAGAATTCTCCAAAATTTCTCTCTCTAACTTGACCTGTCCACTGGAGTCCAGAGTTGTATAGTCAACAGCTTACTTAACATCTTCACTTGGATCTTGACTACCTTCCTCTTTGATGTTCTGCCAGTTTGTCTTTCCTTGCTTGACTTTATCACACGAATGAACTAATCATTTGTTGGCTATTTGCTGGATGTCTATTAGGTATAAGAGTCCTTATAAGGGGTTCTAGAGAAATATAAACATAGAACATAGTCCCTGAAACGAAGAATTTTATAATTTAGCACAGGGCTTTCCAGTGCTCCATGAAAATAAGGTTCTATGATCCATTAAGTTAGGCAGTAGCTATTTTCTATATACCCTTCTTGGACACTGCCAATAAACCTGAACATATCAAAGGCTCTGAGAAGTTCAGTAGTAAAGAGACCTGCTTACGTTGGTTTAACACAGCATTTTCTAATTGTATTTGACTACACAATCCTATTAACATTCTCACAGACTAGAAAATGTTAACTGGGGATATTCCAAATGAGGGGCATAAACAGAAAGTGTTATAGGTCCTGAGAGGAGGGAGTGATATTTGGGGTAGAGATAATTATATAAGGGTACATGGAGATAGAATTTGAACTAACATTGGAAGATAGACTTATTAGATAGATATTAGATAGATTTATTAGACAGATATTTATTATGGACTTACTATGTGCTAGGCACTGTGCCAGGCACAGGGTACTCAATGCTGAGAAAAAGAGAGTGTCTGCCCTCTTAGATTTTACAATCTAGTGAAAGACTCTGACATAAATAAGTGGGAAATGCTACAAAGGATATAAATTGGGTACAGAGATTTCAAACAGTGTGGCCACCTACTCTGAATAGATTGGTGGGGGAAGGAGATGCACCCCAAGAACCTTCACCGACTAACACTGATGATGATGGTGGCCTCCTCTGATCTTTGTGAGACAAGTTACCTTCTCTTCCATTTTTATGTTACCAGTGAAGAATTAGTATTATACAACTTCACTCCTAAATCTAAATAATTGTTATTGTCCATGACAAGTATGAAGTGACTTCCATGAAATATCAGGAGTTGGATAAACATCAGGAATTAAACAAATAGCCAGTCAAAATCTCTCTATTCCACAGAATGAGTTGGACTCTTCCTCTGATGCTAAGCTATTCCTTGGGTTTAAAATGAGGTAGCTTTGAAAACAATCTGTATTTTCCCTAATTGAAATGGAAAACAATATGAGGAATGAAAATTATATTAAAAGATAAATTAAGTGGTCAGTATTTCATATCAAAGGATTTTTAAATTTTATTATATCAGTTATAAAAAAAAAAAAAGCATACCAGTAATCTATGAGAATGGAAAAACTTTGGGAAAGAGGGCAACTGACTTAACAGTTATTAATGTTTAAAGACCTCAACTTGAGATAAGTTAAAAATAAAACAATTTTTCCTAATGTTCCTTCTAAGTTACCAAAGTTCTTCCCATTCCTAGTTAAACCTTCAGCATAGTTGCTCCTTTCAAAAGGCTGGTATGTGTGTGCGTCTTTCTTTAAACATTTTTCTCTTTAGGATTCAGTACTACTATCAATATTTCTTAAAAAAGCAAATTACTGGTTTTCCTGTTAATAAAAGTAGTATATAGTGACTCATAGATGGACCTGAATTTGTATGTCATTTTAAAAGACACGTTAATTGCAAACTGATAGAAATCCATCGTCACCTGCTCTCACCAGGCGCACCGCACACTCGCCGGGGGTCACGCCGTGCAGGTCTCCCTCGGGGCCGATGCACATGGTCGCTGCCACCGGCTTTCCAGAGGCTTTCAAGGCTTCCACCGCCCACACAGCCTCTTCCACGTGCTCAAAATACTGAGATACAAGAAGGTTATGGTGCTTTTAGTCTTGTTTCTCTAGAACAATTTGAAAACGTATTCTGTTGCTTAATAATTAAATCATCATTAGATGAGTGATTTTCGAACTCTGAGTTTGAAATATTTTGAATATTGAGAATTTGAAATTGAAACCATTAACATTTTTTATTATTATTTAAAAAAATATTTTTTCCTTTTTTGACTTTAGAGAGAGAGGAAGTGAGAGGGAGAGAGAGAGAGAAACATCGATGAGAGAGAACATCGATTGGCCGCCTCCTGCATGCCCCCTGGGGTTGGGCCCACAACCTGGGCATGTGTCCTGACTGGGAATTGAACCTGCGACCTCTTGCTGCATGGGTCGATGCTCAACCACTGAGCCACACCAGCCAGACATTAGCACTTTTTAAATGAAATAGAATGGTGATTTTTTTTTACTGTGAATTGCAGTCAAAAGATTTGAAGAACACTGTATTAGATTAACTGGATCAAATTTAGTAGAAGCCCTAAATTGGAAAAAGATTTAGAAATTAAATATTACTATTACTAGCCATGATTGGCACCTGATCTCACATGGTCCCCAGGAAAGCAAAAGGCAGAGAAAATGCACTCAGTACTTGTCTCATCTTCGATCATATTTTTGTTTACCTCTGCAATCAGGAAGTCCACATTCTTCTTCATAAAGACCTGTAACTGTTGCTGAAATACTTTTTTAACTTCAGTTTCACTCTTGCAGCTGAGATACGAAGGTGTCTGACTCACGCCTCCTGCCACCAAAGCGTCTCCCTCATCAGCCACTTGCCGGGCAATGTCACAAGCAGCTTCATTGACTTTCTGCCCCTAAAATGGTGAGTATATGATACATCTACATTTTCATGTGAAATGGAAACAAGAGCATTATTCAAATGTCCACATCTCAGTTGTCTGTTATAATAGTGATTTGATTCCAGAAAATGACAGTGATGGGATAATTCAGTGCTTTACCAAGCTGAGCACTTCTCAGTAACAGTAACATCAATAATAATAATGAAAAAATAAATCTAATGATGGTGTCTAGGCTATTACATGAGACCAAGGATCTGTGAGAGGATAAAAGTCTTTCCATTAAAAGAGCTGGCGTCTTCCCATGACTAAGCTGCACATAATATAGTGGTGATCATGATGATAATTTGTCTTTATGACAAATAGAAGTAAAATTCAGTTAAAGTGACTACAGAATTTATGACTTTTTGTCTTTCTGTATATTTTCAATTAACAGATAAATGTATCATAAGTAAGGTCTTTTCTAATTATTTAGATACTAAAAATGAACACATCCTCAAAAAAACCCAGTGCTGTGGGTCCCATAGGATCATGAAATTTTAAAACTCTTTTCATTGTAGAGATGAAGAAATTGCCACCTTGATCGGGTAAATAAATGGCTTGCCCAACATCACAGTCCACTGTGTCTGCTGCACTTCTGGGAGTGCCATCTGTGGTTTTACTCACGGATATTTTCGCTGCCACGTAATTCCCCCTGTTCTCCAGCTTGTCTTCACTAGCATAAAAGGTGAAGGTCTGCATGATATTCGATCCAGCTCTGAGGAACTCGCGGTGAAGCTGGCGAACTGGGAGATGGAATAAGAAAGGCATTCATTGCTCTCAGTTTATTAACCCAGGGTGCTTTCAAAAGGCTCTAAGACAAATATGAAAATAACTGCTTAAATTCCTGGTCGCTTAGCCTCTATGCATCCTGGGGGCTAATGAGAGGTGGATCTGGGGTCTCTTGCCCAGAAGAAGATATTTCTACCATGGATGGGGGGGGAGGAAAGAAGGAGGTCCCAGAGACGGGGAATCATTTCAGCATTTTTGCCAGCTAGAGGAGGTAGGGAAGGACATCTCTACAAAGGGAACAGCCTGAGAAAAGACAAGGAGGCCGAAACAGCCGTGGCATTTGGGGGAACAGTGGGTGGTCTGAGCAGCTGGGGTGGAGGGTGCGTTGGAGAAGTGATGGGAGATGCAGTTGGAAAGGTGGGCAGGCAGACAGTATGAATGCATAGCACGTCATCCCAAGGAGTCTAGTCTCCAGACCACAAGTGTTGAGGCCAAACCAACAGTGCAATTGAGAGATGTGATTAGTTCTGTGTTTCTGAAAAATGAGTGGGATAAAAACTGGAACAAGGTTCCCAAATACATCCATGGAGCAAGGCCAAATGGCAAAGCTTTCCCAGGTTAGAGGAAATATGGTAGGAATTTTTTCCGTATAACCAAGTATATTCAATTTAAAGAAGTATCTATCCTTTGCTCTAAAATAGTGGTCCTAACCCCTTGTTGCCCACTAGATACCCTGCAAACTTTTTAAAAGGTATGATTGCTAGGGCAATCCCACAGATATTCTGATGTCATTGGTTTGGAGCAGGGTACAGACTTTTTCTTTAAGTTTCCCCAACTGATTCTTATTTTCAGCCTTATTGAGAACCACCATTTTAAGAGAGTGGGGAAATACTCATTTTATTAAATAATAGACTTAGCTGGTGTTTGTTTTGTCAGGGGAATTAACTGGGCAAAGTTAGAAATCAGCAATCCAGTGCCAGTCCCTGAAATTTATTGTGAAATTTCAGAGGCCTATAAAATCCAAAAGTCTAGAAGCAACTACACTAGAAGCCAGGAAGTTATTAGGACACTGGAGTTCTTTGCCCTCAGGGGCTAAGACTGGAGATGAGTCTGGCATCTTGGCATCCCAAGGGCCTAGTAGACCACAGAGAACATAGGAAGCTCAGTTTTTTATTTTAAGTGTACAAATAAATGAGGCAAAAAAGCTTTTGAATTTCAGAAAATTGGTTTCTAAGCTTGAAGCCAAATCTTTATTTTTTAAATCATGGAAACTTTAGTTCTCAGTGGGAATTTAAAAGGATGCCTAAACAAAGGGGCTTCAAACTTTTTAAAATTAGCAACAAGCCAATTAAGAACACCTTCTATGATGTCCCCATTTATCCAGCAGATGAGCTGCTGCAACTGGAGCAGGGGTGCAGGGCCTGTAGACCGGGTTCCTATGCACCAGAGTGACATGGTTTGTAAACAGGAAGTCCAGCCAGGCTGTCCTTGGGTGTATTTCTAGAGACTCTGTGAAAAAATCCTGGATTGGGCCCTGGCCGGTTTGGCTCAGCGGTTGGAGCGTCAGCCTGCGGTCCTGAGAGACCCGGGTTCGGTTCCCGCCAAGGGCGCGTACCTCGGTTGCAGTTTGTCCCCGGCCCTGGTCGGTTGTGCGGGTGGCAGCCACTCGATGTGTCCCTTTCACATCGATGTTTCTCTCTCTCTCTCTGTTCCTCTCTCCCCCCCACTCTACCTGAACAAAAAATGGAAAAATGTCCTCGGGTGAGGATAAAAAAAAAAAAATCCTGGAATGGTGTGCAGTTTGTGTAGACGTACATTTTACAGTGCAGAAGGTCTATACACTTTTATATATTTTTCCAGAGGGCAGTGACCCAGCTCCTTGTTCTTAATTGAGTTGATTATTCCACCATGCTGCTTTTTTTTTTTTTTTAATCCTCACCCGAGGACATTTTTTTTCCATTTTTTGTTCAGATAGAGTAGGAGAGAGAGAGAGAAACATCGACGTGAAAGGGACACATCGAGTGGCTGCCACCCACACAACCAAGCAGGGCCAGGGACAAACCGCAACCGAGGTACGTGCCCTTAGCCGGAACCAAACCTGGGTCTCTCTGGACTGCAGACTGATGCTCTAACCACTGAGCCAAACCGGCCAGGGCTCCACCATGCTTCTTAAAACTGTAGTACTTCTCAAAATGTGACCCAACTTAGACTCACGTGGGGGCAGTTGTTATGAATTCAGATGCCCCAAGCCCCTCCAGACCCAGAAAACCCGAATTCCTTGCCAAATTCAATGCTGATTCCACTGGGTGCAAGAACCACAACTTTTGGCATAAACTTCAGTAGGAGAATTAGTCTGGTAATCTCTAGGTATCCTATCAATTTCTATTTTCTGTTTTCTCTCATCATAAGACTGCTATGTCTTTATCCTCTAACCAATAATAGGGCGGGACTGGTCTCTATGACAAGGACTTGACCTATAATAATTAATTATATTAATGTCATGACTTTACACCTTTATTATACTAGTTTGATCTTAGCATCATAGAAGCTAAATGTTACCCAGCCTCTTGGTTAAGCTGCTGAGTGGTTATCCTTACAAATTCTTCCATCCTTAACATTTTTAAATATAACACTGTGTAGGGGTAAAGTCACAGGCACAAGAGATCAGTGAACTTGAGCCTTCCTGACTCAGCTACAGTCACTGTGTGATGTTGAGCAGGCCATTTACCTACCCCTTCGAGGTGGTAATTTTTTCATCTTTACAATGTAAAAGGAATTTCAAAATTCCATGGGTCTGTGTGGCCGACAGCATGGTTTTTTTTTTAGGACATGTTCATTTTTAATGTCTAAACAATTAGAAAAGACCTTACTTGTGAGACATTTATCTGTTAATTGAGAAAATACAGTAAGACATGAATTCTGTAGTCATTTTAATTGAATTTTATTCTTATTTATCATTAGGGCAAATCATCATCATCACCACTATTTGCTGCGTAGCATTCCAAGTGCCTCACCGGCAGTGGTGTATTTAGTGTTTTGGGGAAATGAAAGGTGTTTAAAGAATTCATGCTCACCCTGGGTGGTTTGGCTCAGCAGTTAGAGTGTTGGCCCACGGACCTGAGAGTCCCGGGTTCAGTTCCCAATAAGGGCACGTACCTCGGTTGCGGTTTGTCCCTGGCCCTGGTTGGAGTTGTGTGGGTGGCAACCAGTCGATGTGTCTCTCTCGCACCAGTGTTTCGCTCTCCCTCCTGCTCTATCCGAAGATAAATGCAAAAATGTCCTCTGGTGAGGATAAAAGAAAGAAAAGAAAAATAATGCATGCTCTCTATCCATCCATCCAGTGTGGTTCAGTTGTTGAGCATTAACCCATGCACCAAGAGGTTTGATTCCTGGTAAAGGCACATGCCCAAATTATGGGCTCAATCTCCAGTAGGGGGTATGCAGGAGGCAGCCGATTGATGTTTCTATCTTTCTCTCCCTCTCCCTTCCTCTCTCTCTAAAATCAATAAAGAAAGAAAATTTTTAAAAAATTCATGCTCTGAAAGAGAGCAGTGGCCAGTTTATGTGCATATTTTATGCAAATTAATTTGTGTACCTGCAGGTGCTTTTCTAATTTAGGTTGGTGATAGCTCAAATTGAAATAGACTCTGGAAAGTTTCCCATGAAACTCAACTACACTTGAAATATTTTTGTAGGACTGGTGCCTGGGCTTCACTTTTTAGTCCTGGAAACGGTGAGAAAGGAAGGTTATGCTACAGGTCTATAATCCCTCATCCAAGCCATTTTGGGACTAAAAGTGTCTTGGAATCCAGAATTTTGGGAATTTTAGAAAGTGAATACAGTATTTACACTATATAGTATCTAACACTTTCATTAGGGTCTAAAGCAGTAGCCCTGCCCCCCAGTCAAACACATTACTACTTACTTTGCGTCAAAGTATATCATAAAATGGGATACAATTATAAATATCCTCACATTAGTTTAGGTCACATTTTGCCCCTAAATTATTTTGCTACAAATTTATCACCCCACTGAAGAAATACTGTACAATTGTATTTGACCTTTCAGAGTTCACTATGGAATTCCAAAGATTTGCATTTCCCAAGTAAATTTACAGGGGTAATATCTAACTATGCTCTGTACATATACAACTGGGAGATATTATCTATATACATATAATGGCCCTCAGGTTTCCTCCCACCTGCCGTCCTAGCCATAAAAGATTTGGTCAAAAAAGTAAAGTGAGCATAAGGTG